TGTGAGATGTGAGAATCGTCCTCGAAGATTAAAGAGAAAATTCAGATGAGGAAGAGAATCAAAGCTGCCTATCAAGAATAAGTTAAATTTTACTGACTAAAAATCACAATTAAAAGTATAAACATAAGTTCAACAAAAATTGAAGTACCCTCATAGATCCAGATACAAGGAACAAATTTAGATTTTATGTTTATGATAACAGCAAACTAAAAATATGCCCTTAAAGCTACTCCTATAGAGATGAACGGACATTTTCTTAGTTAACATTATGTATTGAGATCTAAATTGCTTTGAACTTTGAAAGAAAACCTGCTCAGAGGAAATCTAAACATTGTTACTTCAAGGAATTCTTGATAGAAGTGTCTTTTAAATATTAGCTTTTATATTACAAGTGCCTTAAAATGAATCCGATGTCCAATTAAACCACTTAAAATAACAATTTGATTACTGTAAAATGAAAGTAGTTTTGGAAGCCACAAATTAGCTGTTCAGTGCAGTAATTCACAGGTGACTTGTCCCAAACCTGAGTATTGAAGCATATCAGCTAAAGCCAAGTTAATGTACTTGTAATAAGCTTGCTGTTTAAACCACTTAAAGCAAATATCCTATTGAATAGATAACATGTTCATTTACAGAAAACTATTGATCTTTTATCTTGCTAAAGTTCAAGACCTAAGGAGTTATGAAGGTGATAGGAACATCCTTCATGACTGAGATACTCACTATAAAACGTAGCATTATGAGCCACATAATTGTGCCTTTGATAACGTGCTTCACTAAAGTTTATTCTATTGGAAAATGCTTTACTGTTCAATGTAGTGATTAAATATTTTAATTAAACTAATCTACTTTAAAGAAATGCTTAGCATGCTAAGCATGATTCCAGCTGATAGTCCTTGTTACACAGCCGAGTTCAGTGAACTTTTGCATTTAAATTCTTTTCACCATGTTAGTGTGAACTCTAACACTACTTTAAAATTACAGCACAAATAAACGAACGTGATTTACAAATTAATGCAAATTGCAGAATATTCAACAGCAGCCTAACATTACATTTGGAAAATTCAAGATCAGACATGTACATTCCCCCCCTCTCCTTCCCCCCCCCCCACCCCCAAATCTTAAACTAGCAAATAAGAAGAAAAACAACCTACATTTTTGGATGAAATTTTATTTTCAGGCTATTACATACAGTTATCAGAAATAAAGATTTTTATTTGTCATTTGTTCACCCCCAAAATTATAGTATTTATCATTTATGTTTTACCATTGTATATTTATTAAATTTTTTTAGTTTTAAAACTTTAAGGCACTAAATTATATACTGTATTGTTCTGATTAAAAAAGTCAAACCTGAACATAAAAGTCAATCCCAAATTTTCAGGTTCAATTTCAGGAAGAAAAAACCAAATCCTTTTATTCTCAAATAAGTCAATAACTACAGATAAATGTCCTTAACTGTGCGATATAGCCTGATTGTTGGATGACTGGTTATAGGCTTGTCTTTCATATTAGCTGAAAGAAATCTTTGTGGTTCCAAGTGGGAAAAAAGATACACGGACTTAGAACAACACCTACTGAATACTTTGTACTGAGAACAAAGTTTATGGCTTTTGGTGATCACAAAATAGAAAAAAGCATACTCTCACTGCAAAATAATATGGAGAATTTAAAAAAAATGGACAGAAATGACTACCAAGGAAAAATTGAGTTATTGAAAAATGTGAGATAGGAATATCTTAGAAATCGTGGAACTACTGAGCACCTAACAGTATGAGAGAGAAAATTTGCTGGCCATTCATAACTTTTTTCACACTAAAGATTTGTTTTTTTGTTTTATTTTTCCTTTGTTTGTTTTTGGGTTTATTTTCCTTGTTTCAACACCCTTAACGGTACTCCAATTTTGGGATGCAATTTGGCAAAAAAAAGGCTGGAAGAAAGACGACCCTGATTAGGGAAAAATTATAGTTTGCTCAAAGGGCTTTATAATCAGTGCTTAAAGAACCAGATTCAAACTCCAGAAAGCAAATATATGTATACGTGGTAGAAAAATTTCATAGACATTAGGGCTGGAAGGGACCTTGCAAGATCATCAGGTCTAGCCCCCTGCCCAAGGGGCAGGGAGTCAGCTGGGGTCAGATCACCCCAGCAAGATAAGCATCCAAGCATTGAAAACTAAAAAGTTAGTTTTATGCATTAACATATCTCAATAAATGAGAAAGCATTAGGATGTGATGAGCTCCTGGTGTTGTTGCTTAATCCTAATGAACTGGTGTACAGGGATCCAAGTATAAAATTCAAATTCAGTCTGATTAGGGAGTCCTTACTCTCTGTACTAGCCTATTATTTTTACAGAAGCACCCACATTTTCTACAGGCTGATACAGGCTGTTGGGTAAAATCTTTTCTATAATAAGAGGGAAAAAACAGAAATTTAGAGCGCTATAGTCCCCAAGGACTATATTCAAAAGTCAAATCAAGCAACATGCTAGACTAACATGATGAAAAGAACCTTGAAATAAAAGACTGAACACAGATATGGGTATATTGGAAGCTCAGCTGCCAACTCTACTGCTAAGTACCCAAATCACCACTGTCAACTGACCACTACAAGGATATTCAATTTGGATTCTTCCTTGTTGGATCCTCTGAAACTTTCTGTAAAAAAGGGGAAATTTGGGGGAAATTATATAATACAACAGGATTACATTTGGGGATAGTACGATACAAAGGGTGACCACTCTCAAAATCAGCAGACCCTCCATCTTTTGGGTTCAATGTTTCTGAAACAAGAACTAAGCTACTATCATAAAATGCTAACTGGATTTCTAAGCACTAGTACACTTCTGCAAATTTTGCCCCATCTTGTACTGAATCTCACATCAGAATAAGGGTGAGGATATATGATTTTCACTTGAAAGATTTCACACCTCTAGAGAGCAGGGCTCTAGACATTCCAAATGTGGTCCAAGGTAAGTAAAGGAAAACCAGAAAGAAGTTTATTGAAGGATACTTCACATCATCCAGACAGACTTAAGACAAGATTACTCTCCAGAAGTGATGACTGTTACTTTTCCTATTGTAAATCAAAGTTTGTCTATTTGGTTTTGAAATAAAAAGGTACTACTCATACTTGTGTCTATCTGGTTTCCTAGTGAACTGTCTGGTAGAAACTTTCTTAATATACTTTGAAAAATCTGTTCAACTCCAGTTCTCAAATAATTTATTAGATGGTCCACCTCCAATTCTGAAGAAGCTTTGATGAGGATATGATAATTTATAGGAAACTGTTCATTTCCTTTTTCCCGACTTCATCAAGTCACTGTAGTGGATGGAGTAAAGTAGACCAAACAAACAGCCGCATATCAATATACTTCAATAGAAAAATCTCAAGAATTTACAATAATATGTCACTGTAAATGCCTGTACTACTAGATCAAGAGAGGTCCTGCAATCACATAGTAACAACAAATACTCATGAGAGAGCTGATGATGCAGAGCGATTGCATAAATCTTTCGCCTTTTACTAAAAATTTCCTTACAGCCTCCTCGAAGGCAGAAAAATGTTTTATGTTTTGTCAGAGTACACTAGACCAAAGCAAGCTGAGCAAATATGATTCACTTCTAAGGCTGAAGTTGCAGGCGTGCTTTTTAATAGATTTGATAAAAGGCACCCAGACAAACTACTATGGCTAGGGACAAAGTGCTACTAATGAACAAGGGTCACCAGATGTTACACAGGTGATAGGGTCTATAGCATGCAAGATACCTGAAACCACAGGCCTAAATTTGCACACTTAAAACTCTCTGGAGTTAGATATCTTTAATCCTAAAAATATATGAATGCTTTCTTTTCAGGGAACTCCAAGGGCTCATTGTTTCTGAAAGTGAGGATATTTACATGGGGACTAAATGTAGATTCAGGGCGCCTAACTTTGGGAAAACAGAACTCCATAGAAACTTCTGGCCTCAGTGATTATGACTGGAGAACCAGGTAGACAATGCCAATGCTACAGAAGTTTTTTGAAGCTTGAACATTAAGGAACCATATCTTGTGACTCCCTAATTGGCTGGGGGAAAAGTCCTTTTATTCAGCTAATAAAGAAGCTACTATACTCAGCCTGGATACTAGTTTAGAATGCAACTTAGTTGACAATTTAAGAAAATAGTTAAAAGCTAAAAGCAAAAAAACAAAAACCAACAAAAAAAAGAAGAGCAGCATTTAGATGCTTTAACAGACTGCTACATGCAAATATGAAGCAAAATACTTATTCTCTCTTTAATCTGATGTCCAATTCTTTCCAAGAAAAAAACTTTAAAAGATATTTTGCTGCCACGCATCTGAAAGTCCAACTTCTCTTGTACAATATATAGTGCTTGCATTAACTACAAATATTTTCTATTAAAAGCATAAGAATTCCCAGGGATGTTTATAAGAAGATACTTTTAGAGTGCTGCATATAAAGATATCTTAATTCCATTTAACACTGCAACTGGACTATGACATGCTTGTTAGTGCTGCTTCACTTTTTGCTCACTGGAGTTTACTATCGTCTCACTCCGAATATTAAAACCACCAGCTCAAAAAAAAATTCTGTGCGTGTCAAATAAGCATACCTTAGACACATAAAAGGTAAGTGAGTTTTATCAACCCTGTAAACTATTTTCCTAGCAATATTCAAAATCAGAACTCGCTCCTCTGCTTTATGAAAGTTTGGTACCCTAATGAAAAGTGAGACTAAAGCCATAGATTTGTAGTATCTTTGTTGCTTTAATAGACAAGAAAGAAATGTCAAATCATGGCGGGAACTGCACGAAGACCTGCTTTGAGAGAGTGTCACACAACTTTGGTTGAACAATCCTTCTACAGAGACAGCTATTTTATAACGTATTTTAAAGGAAAACATGAAGACAACTGCATTTAAATAACTATCTTAGGGATACTGAGTTAGATATCAGGTTTTTAAAAAAAAAAAAAAAATAAAGCCACACTTTTAGATCTCCAAGAACAATTTAAACAATTTATTTATTTTTTTTTTTAGGTGCTGACAAAAGTTTTCAATTTCTGAGCATATCCAGACACTTAAATCATTACTTAGGCACCTAAAAAACCTGTAGATCTCCAAAGATGCTGCGTTCCCACTATCTTACCATTCTTTGTCATTACTATGCAATTTAATTTTCATGGGAAGTCGTGATTTCAAAAATTGTGGTGATGGGTCTGCTAGCATGCTGTTGATCAAAAAGCTTACTCAGGAGTTCCTCAGCTAAATTTTTCAATTATGGGGAAAAAACAAAAAGGCTGAGCAGGCATTGCTTAGACAACACCATCTTCTGAATGAAAGATGTGGTTGGTAAGACTTTTCTTCTTTTAAAATGATATCAGTTATGAAGAAGTTAAGATACAAGAATGTGAACAAAAAAAGATGGAAAGACATACCCAAGTGACAGACATTTTACTATATGCAGTAGAAGGGTGTTTTGCATAATGCTTTTAGCAGTCTTATTCATTAGCAGCATCTTCAAATGAATTCTATGTTACTTAGAATAAGTAAGGTAACTTTTTAGGAAAGCAAAATTATTTCACAGGATAACCACCAAACTGACAACAGAGGTCTGTACCTTAAACACTTTGACAGGAATTAGATTCATTTTTAAATATAACAGCAGAGAATAAGTTAAAACACTTTGATCATAAACACAGAAAAAAAATAATTAGGCCTTCATTTTTAAAAAGTCAACATATTTCCTTGCACAAATGAACATATATACTCTTTGTACTTACTGTGCGAAGCTCAAACTAGGGGATGTGGACAACCACTCTTTCTGGTGCACTGATAGCACAATTATGCTTGTTCATTGTAGTGAAAGGAAAATTAAAAGACAGCAACGTTTAATACACTCCATTTTGCTTTTAGATTTTAAAAAGCAAATGAACCTTCAAAATGGATTTCCTCAAGTCTATTTATTAATGCATTTCAAGTTTCAAAAAACCTTACATATCTTTGCACAATACTTTATTTTTTGCAATTTTAGTAAAAATTTCCAAAGTGAACAAAAAAGATACTGTATAAAACACAGTGGACATTAAACTGACAGTAGTATTAGATCTCATTTGTCTTGATCTTTCTTTTTGTTTTACCACATCTCGTCTTGCAGTGGAGAGTTCAGTGCACATTGCTCTGTTCAGAAAACATTTAACTTAGAATAAAATAGGCAGCATATATCTGCCAAAACCCTACCACAGGATAACATTACAAGCAAAAAATTTACATGTTCCAAAGTCTACCACACTCCAAGTTACTAAGAACTCTTGCTGAATAAAAGTCACCATTTTAGAAATGCAAACCCACTTCCAATCTTTGCACAGTCGGAAAACAAATGTATTTAAAATGATTTAAAAGCAACTACATACATTTCTAACTAGTTAAGATCATTTAGAATTATTTATAAAGTCTATTGGACTGGGGTTTCATGTACAAAATTTGTCTCTAAACCATGTACAAAAAGCTGTATTTTGAAAAAAGTCACCACATACTGTACAAGTTTACAAGGAAGAGATCCCATTATATTCTGTAACATTTTTGGCCTTGCTGGCTTGCGTCACATTATGAGAATGATTGTGTAAACCTTATACTCTTAAAAAAAAACCCACAAAACGAAGCCTGTCCAACCTTTAGTAAATTTTCTCCTAAGCAAAGCCAGGAAAATTATAGCTTTTTGCCTCTAATTAGCTTGGTGCTTTTGGAAAATAAGCAATAAATATATAAGAAGCTTATACATTTTGTAATGCCCCCCTTTCATTTCCTGCATAGCAGTAAGCATAGTAAGACATTCAATTGTTTTGTTTTCTCTTTTAAAAATGCCAATTATTTACATTTGTAAAAAAACCCAAAAACTTTGGAATGGGACATTGCGCTGTTTGAACTTCACTACTTGTAAAAGAAAAAAAATTAGAGACAGTCAGTAGGCCTAACTACAATTTAACTCAGCTATGTAGCTGGGCAAATTATTGTATTTTAGTGGTTATCCATTAACAATATCGGGCTGAAAAGTTATCAATATATTTGATAAATTAAAAAAATAATAATAAAAACAGCTTTTCATCTTTTCCACATCCCTCAGAATTAGAAACCTAATTATCATACAGTAAGTATATCCGAACAACCCAAATAAGCTGGTTGTAATCATTAAAAAAAAACCAAGTTGTATAACAGGCATATTTTTCTACTAAAGCATGAAGTTATTTCATCCAACTATTCATTATTTAACTGAATAATCAGATAAAAATTAAAAATACGTATGCTGAACTATGAAAAATTGGAAACATAGTAAATGTAATTTTGAAACATTCTGGCATAGGCAAAGTTTGCACAACACTTGCTTTACGCAACTCTAAGAGCATTCAATCATGTATGCTATGTCTTAGCAGCTGTTCTGATAAAAAATGAAATGAGTATTTGAACCAACTCTGATCATAATAAAAAAAGTTTGATTTGATTCAAAAACTGCTGTGTAAAGCATCACTGAATCCTTGACCATTATACACCACCATCCTCTGTTATCCTGAGTATGTCAATTAAACAGTAATTTCTTCATTAATAGCGGAAAGTTTTTATAATACAAAGAAACATCCATATTGCAATTTTTTGTTTACAATTGCACACAAAGTACGGGTGTACGTTAGAAATACATGTCTGCATATAACAATTTATATACATTGGCAAGTAATGTCTCCAATGTTGAGGTGGTCTAGCTTCCTAGCCTTCACTGGCAGTTGAAAAATATATATTTTTTCAATTTGTGAATAAAAGTTTACTAGAGCCATATTTGCCTGCAAGTGAAGAAAAATGCAGCAATGAAGAGCACAGAAGGGGGAAAAACCATGGTAATCTAAGATTTTGTGCCATTCGGTTAAAAATATGTTTGTATGAAAATCATTTTTCTCTTCTTTTTTAGCTTGAAGTTTCAATTGTTAAAAGTTAAACTTCGCCACTTGTTTTGAGGACATAATATCTTGCCTTTTTTTTTCTTCTGAGACTTAGACTGGGGACAATGATTTAATAGGTTTTCTTTGGAGTGGAGTTTTCCCATTGTAGGCACTAGGAAGAACCAAGGCAAAAGCTGCAGTCAGCGTCTCATGTGTCCCATCTGGTAACTCTCTCGGGGCCTCTGACGTTGCGGTGGCTGAGCTGGTTGTGGTGGTCTCCTCCTCTTTAAAGTGCCTGTTATTGCACACAAACACAAAGAACACGTGACTACCACTGAAACATATTATTCTGAAAACACATATTATGAGAATTAGTGTTTTATGTTATTTGAGGGGCACAAGATACAAAACTGTGATAAAAGCTGTTTTAAACAAGCCACCAAGTGCACAAGGTGAATGTGTAGCATATTAAAAATGAGCTACTGAAGCAGATATTTTCAGAAGAAAGTGGTGTGGGAGTAGAAGTAAATGAGAAATATTGCTCCAGTGCTTTCCGTGTGAAAGTTTACAACTGCATGCTTTCTTTAGGACCAACAAGATGTCATTTTATCTCTGCAGATGAAGCAGTAAATTAGTTTTTGTATAGCCCCACCACCTGAAAAGGCCCACATGAACCCTTGTGGTTTCACAGTGCCATAATACGAACTTCAGGACTAGTGCTCTAGCATCCCAATACTTTCTAAATGTTCTTCATATCATTCTGTAGTTTTAATAAATCTGAATGTACTTAACTTACCTGGGAGTGGTTTATGAGGAGGCAACTTTGGATTACTGCTTGGAGTATGAACACTGCATATCTTAATGAATCCAGCCATTAACATGATCAGAGCAATTCCCATAAGTAATACTGCCCACCAGTGAGCCTAAAATGCATTAAAGAACATTGTATTTAGAGAGCCAGATAGTAATTTTTTTGTTAAGATTCAAAATTTTGGTAAAACAAACAGTGAAATAAACTAACAGCAATAAATCTATTAGTGCAGTGATGCTTTTCAGGATAAGGGCACCTCTCGCTCACCTTTTTCAATGTGGCATCACCCCCAGTTGAGAATCACTGTCAGGGCTGCCTCAACTTACCTCAGTGCTTCTCAACTGGGTGATACTGCCTCCGGGTAAAAGTGCCTGCTGCACAGCCAGCCTGGGAAGGGCTGAGGCATGTGCACATGACACTGCTGCACTAGGGCTCTGATCAACCTAAAGCAGGCAGGAACTGCCTTGTGCTGTGTTGCCCTTCCTGGTCTGGCCCCCTTGCCAAGTTCCTTTCAGAAACAGAGACACAGTGGGAGTGCCCCATGGGCCTCTTTTTGAGAGGAGCAGCTACAGCATCAGCTAGCTCCTGCCACCTTTAAGCTGATCAAAGCCATAACGCGCAAGAAGCATGCATAGGGCAATTTTACTCAGCTACTGCCACCATGTCATGGCACCCATGGGCAGTGGGAGGCTAGTCTTGCAGCATTTTTATCCAATACACCATTTATTTCATCACTGTTAAGTACTTATTACATCTAAGCTAGTGAACAAAGACACTGACGGATTTTCCAACTTGACTATAAATATCCTAAGCTCCGGTATTTGACTTTTAGGTTAGTTTTATACCTATTTAACTACAGTAAAACTTATGGACAAATGACACATTTACTAGTACACCTAAGGCAGGGCAGGGCAGGGAAGCAATTTAACTGAATATAAGAAAAGCTAAGAGAAAAGGAAAGCTAAAGAGAAAAAAAGGGTTCGGCTGTTCTGTTTCAGTTGGGACAAATACCACTAGATAAATACATATATTTTTCCCAACTCCCAGCTGACAATCTGACCTTTGCTTTGGATGCAAAAAGTAATAAGATCTGACTGCAAAAGTAATATTCAGCTGCAACTAATGAAAAAAACAATGACTATACATAATAAAAAGCTATTAAAATGGATTCTTAAATGTTATTACAATGGAAGTAAATATACTCTAGAGAGACTACACAGGAATGTAATCCAAGAAAGGAAAGGAAAGATTTAGAACAAGCTCTTCCTTCACTTCCATTCATGTGCATGTGCTCTCTCCCTGCTAGATTTTGTTTGCTTCAAGTTGTAGAGTTCTGTGTATATAATTTGCATCAGGGACCAAAGACAAAAATGCTAATAAGGCAGTGGAAGTGAAAAAGTGAGAAATTAGTTATAGTGAATTGGAATTTCCTTTTAAGATCATTTTGACCCATTTCCCCCTTAAATATAACTTAGTCTGCACTTAACCCATTGGATAGACACATTTTTATACATCTGAATAAAAACTGATGACTGATGACTATTATCTTCTGTGAAAATTATTATACTTTATAAGACCTTAAGGTTGGGCAATCATTTTCTTTTTGACCATGAAGAAAAAGCATATGAAGTAACATATCGCAAGGCATTTTTTTCCCCAACTGCAGCAATTTATTGGTATTTCAAACGCTCACTTCTTAACAAATGGAGAGGAATAATAAAACGTCGATTTAAGTTTGCTTAACACACTTTATAAAACTTTAGTTTGTCAAAGTAAATGTAAATAAAGTATTCAGCCTGGGATTTTACATGCTTTGTCCCTGTCCCAAAACGGATTTAAAAAAAAAATAAATTTGGCCATTTTCCAAAAAGCGCTTAGTGGAACCAGATACTTCGAAAAATCAACTCTTCCTCCTCAGGTATTTGAAGTAGGACCATTAAGTTTGTCAGGAAGATATTCTGATGTTACAAAGATATATTTAATTGTCTCCTACGAAACTAAGCTTAGCTATGAGAAGCTGCCAGACTGAAAAGTTTGGTAGCCTTTAGTCTTTTTAACAGTTGAAGTGTGTTGCATATACCCCCAAGCAACAGTCCTGCATCATACACACAGTATGACACCGTAACTCAATGGAAAACAAAAATCCTTCATTTTTTCTGCTGCTCTCCTTTCTCAACACCCTCCAGTATTAACCTTAGGGAAGGTACACTGGACTTAGAGCCAGAACGGGTGCATTTACACATCGACCTATGGCAATATAGCAGTCATGAGGGTCTACATGTGATCGCCAGCTACGTTGCTGTAGCAGCATGCCGCTATGGTGGCACAGCAGTGAAATCTAGCCATGTGCCGCACACAGTGCAGTAACTGCCCATACTGCTCTGTGCTTTAGTTCTTCCAAAACAAAGTACTAAAGCACAGTGCTGTAGCAATGTTGCCGTATGGCAATGTGTAGACACACCAAATGAGTGCTAAATTTGATTTTTCAGTACACTTCATAACCTATATTGTTTTATACCCTTAATTTGAGTGACAGGCAATTATCATTCCCACATCAAAGGATCTGAGAGGTTGCACTGATTCATTATGGCAGAACCTAGGTCTCTCATACAGGATACATAAATTATGTCCAGTTAGTCACACTGCCTCTCTAAAAGAATATGGCAAATATGTGAGCTTGGTAATGGTGTCTGCTACAGAGAAATTTTCCTACAAACCCAAACTTAAGAACATACAGGTGGGCTTTACATAAATTTAAAGCATTACTAATAAACGACTATCTAGTTATCTGCCGATTAGCTCAAAAGAACTGAAAGGTAACTATCCTTCTAGACCAAGAGACAGAATGCAGGAATCCCAGTTCCCAGCACTGAGCTGGATAGCACAAGATTATGGAACCAACTCACTAATGATGTCCCACAGCTACATACGGTATTTAAGGAAGGAAATTTTATAAAAAACACATTGAGAAACCTTGTTCCAGATAGAAAGACAACAAGCCAGTAGTTTAGAAAAATGTTAGATTTATGGTCAAGACTCAATTCTGCCCCTTCTACAAATACTCTGATACCATTCAGCTCTATAATTGCATTCTTTTTGCAACTGGCCTCTGCCTTATTGAGACCTGAGATAGTACTGCATCTGTGAGAGCTGCCTGCAGAAATTTGTTTTTATTTTTACTTTTTTTAAGTTAGAAGGTGTATAGAACATGACAAAAAGCTGCAAGAAGAGGCTATCCTAAGATAAGAGAGAAAATATCTGTAGTTCTGAGCGAGTCAAACCAACATTTTCCAAAGATGGCTGCTAACTGTGCAGGAGAATCCCCTAGACACTTTGGGGAGCATTAAATAAAGCCCCTGTTCTAATATGCATCCACAGAGAAAAAAAAATTGGAGAGAAGCAACTAAAGCAGACACCTTCAGAGAATGTTCTATCATTTTAACAAACTTTCTCTACCCCTGACTGTAACAATAGGAGAATTGAGACAAATAGCCATTTACCACAGATTCACACCATCCTTGCTCTTATTCCTCATTCACTTTTCCCTTCTTCCTTATCTTACCTAAATAAACCCAGCAACCTCACACTTATCAAAAATTCACCAAAAATACTGTTGCCATCAATTTGTTCTCTCAGCTTGTCCATGATCTCCTCTCTCCCAACCTGCATCTGCCTTCTCAATTTCCACTGCAAGCAATTTGGGGCAGAGGCCATTAATAGCATTAGCTGTTAGAAAACAGTTATGTACTGTACAGCAGTTGCAGAACACATAGCTTTTTTCCCCTCAGGATTCTGCTATAAAACTATACTACAGAACTATTCACAGGAGAAAAAGAAAAAGAAGCGACTCTCTAGGGCAGGGGCAGGCAAAATACAGCCCGCAGGCCAGATCTGGCCAAGCTATTCTAATCTGGTCAGCTGGCCCCTAAAAAATTTTAGAAAATTAATATTTATTTGCCCCTGGCTGCCTGTCAAAGATGACAGGAGCCAGCGGCAGTAGGAACCACAGGAAGCTGGCAGCAGGACTAAGCAGCCACAGCAGCAAGGCAGGCCTGGCCCTACTCCTCGCCCCCCTCCAATCAACCCCCCCCCCCCGGCCCCAGCTGGAAGCCTCGGCCTAGCAGAGGTTTCTAGCCTGGGACCCTGGGGCTGTTCCTGTCTCCCTGCACCAGAGGGAAAATAAGGTGGAGGGTGCGGAAAGGAGGTAGGGGAGGACTGCAGGCAATAGCCCCAGTCCTCAGGGCCAAGCTGCTGGCCAGTGGGCAGGGGGGTAGCAAGTGGACGCACAGAGCACAGCAACAGTTGGGCAGGCGCGCAGG